TGAGTACTGTTTTAATTTAGAAAACAGCAAATAAAAATAAATATATAATATAATATAAATATGTTTTTGTATTTAAAAAAATTACTTTCGATAATCAATAGATCTCGAAACATCTCAATTTCATTCGTTTAAAGAAGATGTATCACCAATTTTTTTCGAAATTTCTGCCAAAATATGTACTTTTTCCAATAAAACTTATGTTTTTTTTACACTATTTCGATTGTTTTAAGTCGAAATTACTTTTTTTGTAATTTTCTTAAGAGACATGACGTCTCGTCACTTATGAAATCAATTTTTGGCATTGTTTCTTAGACAGAAGAAGAATCGAAATTAGAAAGGTCGTCGCTCCTTTCAAGATCAGAAATTTTCGTAATTTGTCTGATATAAATATAAATTAATTTAAAATAAATCTCATAAAAACATTTCATGATACTCTTTCTACATTTAATGACCTTTTTAGATAGATCAAGCACACTATAATGTGAAAACAGTATCATAGTATGCAACTATACTCCAATTACATTTAAAAACACAATGGTTCAGTTGAATAATTCGCATCATATTATACAGAGGATGATAGAATGCTTGTTATTAATATATAAAATAGCTTCTATATACGGTGAGGTGCCAAATAATGATCGATATCTTTTTATCAATAAAATTTCATAGATCAAGAGAGGATTATTTCTGTAATTTTATTTAAACTGTAATTGTATTTATATATTTTACCCGTGATAAACTTTACAAAAGCATTATTTGATAGTTCATATTCGTGATGTAATATAAACTATAAATGTCAGCAATTTTATTTAAATAAAAAAAATAAATTCTATACTTCAACAATGCTAATTTTTCGAAAGTTTTATTATTATTTCGAGAATTCTAAGATTTTTGACAAAAGAAAACTTTAATTTTATTGATAAGGCAGTTGAATTGCCTTATCAATGCCTTATTTATGGGCAATCTGCCTTTCAAAAAGACTTCTTTAGGGAAAACTAATACCCATTTAGGTGATAGACACGTGGAAAAAAACTGGAAAACTCCACGTGGCTAGCACGTTGTTGAGGCGAGAACACAAGAGTTCAGTGGTTTTTTTCAATTGGCTCTGTTGAATTTGACAGTCATACAATTTCAGTTTAGCAACTAATTTTATGTTAAAATACAATACTTAAATAATTATTAATTTTTAAAAGAGTGTAAATATTTAATTCTTAATATTATAAAAAATAGAAAATTATTACATTTTATTTTAAAAAATCATGAAATTATTTCTCTTCTAACTTTAATACAAAGATTTTAAGAGGAATTTTTTGTTTATTTGTCAAAGTGTAATAAAAAAAATGGTTAAAAAATCGTTAATAAATCCTTTCTTGTAATAATATAAATTTTTTTGAAGTTTTTCCAATAAGATCATTAATCTAAAGGACTTTTATCTGTCAAAAAAACTACTTTTTATGGTTCTTTGAATGTTTTTATATTGGAAAATGTCTTTGTTGTGTTGAGAATAAAAAAAAATCTTTTTATGGTTTTATCTTTAATTCTATAATTGAAATTTATGTTTTAAATTCTTGAAATTAATTTTGAAGTTTTTTGTTTGTCATACAGAAAAATGCGGTATTTTTTAATCAACGGGATAAAGCGAAGTCTTTTTTAATTAATAAATTATAGTTATTCCTACTTTAGCAGGACATTTTGACAGTTTCGTTTACAACAAAATGTCTGCTTTCAAAGCTGAAGTTAATAATACCACCAAACACTGGTCGTGGGTTCGCTCTTGACCAACGGCTGGCTACGTGGAGTTTTCCGGGTTTTCTTTACGTGTCTAACACCTAAATACAAGTTTGTTTTCTTTAGAAGTCTTCCTGAAAGGCATCCTCCTGATCAGATCAATACAATTATAATCAGAAGCTGAACTTGTGAATGTTGTTAATGAGATGCTTTTTCACACTGCTTCATAAGGGCAGTTATTTGTGTTACATTACTTTACAACTTGTACACTTTGATTGAATTTAGAAGTATCAATTGCTGGAAGCCATTTTTTCACAATTTGAACTCTCTCCTTCGTGAGATTTGTATAAAAACTAATTTAAATGTAACGTTAAATATAATTAGAGAAATCTTAAAAACTTATCTATATACTGTATGGTGTCTGTCCGTACGACTGTTCTCTATACGCTTTTAAATCAAGAGAAAGTCTATATATTTGAAGAAGCAATTTTTAAATGTTTACGTAATTAAAATATTTCTTTAATAAATATCTTCATTACTGTAAATAATATTAAATTATTTAACAGACGAATATCGTTTGTAAGAAGTAATCGGAATTCTAAAAACGGAAGAATACAAGAAATATGCAGAATTAAGTGAAAGGAAGGAAGAAATAAGAAGAAATTTAATTCTGTTTACTGCACAATGAATGAGATTAGACGATTCGAGCGTAAAATGAGGTAAGAATTTCAGAGAAGAGCAGAAATAAAAGGAGAAAGCGAGAATTAACGATCGGTTGATGCTCCAACATGAATACAGAACAAGAAAAATACATTTGACAATGATTATCACCACTAAATGATACTCGATACATCTTAAATCGAGCACTTTTCAACCTTTAAAATGCTTACTCCCTGATTAACATAAGAAATAAGCATTTGATCGTTCCGAAGATCGCGATCTACTGAGTGGGAAATTCCAGTTTTTATATAATAATTTACCTCGTAGTTTCAATTTTTCTTTATATTTTATTCATAACGTGTTTGATTTTTAATTATTCTTTATCGAACGCTTCTGTTTAACATATTTTAAATGTATATTTTTAATTAATTAATTTTCTGTTCATATAATACTCGATTTTAATCGAGAGTAGCATCGTTACATAACTTTCTTGAATTATTCACATTTTATACTGCATTAGATGTAGTTTTTATTTAATTCTCGGGCAATAAATGGGAATAAAAGTAGAATTAATGAGAGTTAAATATCTAAATATCAACGTAATTAATTAAATAATAAATATTCATTAGTTTATATGTAATAATTTGAATAATCTACGAGATGATCATACTCGAAATAAGGGATTTTGTTGAGTATAAAGATGAAACGAATAATTAAATTTATAATAACAAACGATGAATTTTAATGAGTTGAAGTATGAAATGTTCCTTTGAATTATGAATTAGCTTCATTAGTTTCAATAAACTCCATCGACAGCCAGCAGTTATGAATCTGTAGTAAGGTTGGCCAACCAGTGGCCGAGTGGATAAAACTACTGAACACAAGTAGTCAGTCACAGGTTCAACCTGACCAACAAGCTGACCAAGTGATGTTTTCCGGATTTTCTTCACTTCCCTAACACCTAAATAGAGGTCAATTTCTCATAGAAAGTTCTCCAGAGAGGTAATCTCTGGCAGAAAACGACACATAGATCGTCTAAGTATTGTGTCGTTTTATTCCATCAAACTGTAGAATAGTACGTGGAGATTTTCGTGTATAACTTTACGCAAATTTTTGAATTATTCGGAATAAATGGAAAATTTGAATTAAGGAAACCAAAGCAGATTATTTTTCAGTAAGCTAATTAATTAATATTAATTAATTAGTTTACTGTAAAACAGATAAAGCGACAAAGACTAGAGAAGCAAATTAACGCATTATAGTTCAAAGAAATCAATCTCTTTTTCTGAGCTCACAAATTAATCATCATTTAATATCACGAGTAATCTTTATATTCGTTTGTCCATTTCCTTATTGTTTTCAAGTATCATTTAAATATTTGTCAAACAAAGATTAGTAATTTCGAATAATGAAATTGAAAATTGGCTATCACTCATCGATAACAAGCAAATTTTAATTAAAACCATTGCAAAGTTTAACGTAATAAGTGTTTAAATTAAAACTTTACAAAAGTCTAATTTGTTTTCGAATCGATATTTTCCAACTTTACATAACGTAATGTTAATCAATATATACTTTAAATGTATATTTTTCTAATCTTAAATTTCTCAAGTGAAGAAAATCCTTGGTGACTCATACTATAACAGTTTATAAAGGCTCATAAAATACTGACAGAAATGTAACTTTATAAACTGTATATCATAAATTTATTTTTTAAAGTAAACGAGAATTCATTTTATATTTCAATGAAATGTTAACGTTTAATAATATATCTTGTGTTTTTCTATCATAAAAAATAAAAGATATTATAATGCGCTTAAGTTCTTTAATAATTGGGTGGCGAAAGCCTAAAGAATCGTCAAACACACGTCTTAAACTTGAAAAACAATTTTACATGTTAAATTCTCTCTTTAAAGAATTATCCTTAAAATTGCTAAAATGACCATAAAAGTAATTTAATATTTTTGTTTAAAAAAAAATGCTTATTCTGTTAAAACTTGCCTCTGAAAGAGCATTTGCAAAAATATCTTGTAGTAATTCGTTCATGGTCTTTAAATTATATTTGTTTGCATCATATAACGCTTAAAAACTATTATAACATTCTTGCTTCTTCTTTCTTTCTTGATCCCAAATCAAATATAATTCAAACTTTAACACATTATATTTACATGTGTATAAGTTTATTCTTCATCCACTGAATGTAGGTTTGTACTGTACATACAAGTTTAAAACGTAACAATGAAGATATCATTTAATATCATTTAACCAGATAACGTCGTCTTTCATATTAGAATGGAAATATTTTTGAATTTCTGTTTAAATAATATAAACAGCTGTTTTATGTTTTCATATTTAGTGGCTAAATTTATGTATCCAAGGTAATAAATATAGAGAAACGTGATATATAAACAAGCAAAATCTATACAAAGAAGAAAGATCGCAGTCTTTTCCAAAGCAAAAACTTTTTCATAGCTTCCGGCATAAAATTTTATTGGTAAAGTTACGGAATAAAAAAAAATTATAGGTTAGAAAATAATAAATTTTTATAAATAACAAGAAATAAACACAAATACACCTATTAAAATAATTTTTATAGTAATTACAATGAATCTTTTCTATTTTGAAATGTTAACAAAGAGCAGAAAATTTTATATTTATTTTATAAGTTTTTAAGGAATTATCATATATTTAAATATTTATGTAGCAATCGAGGGGATTTTATCTACTTGTATCTTGATCGTATTTTTTGGAAGAAGTGTTTCTAATGCTGTTTCGTGACCATTACATGCCCGATTCTGACCTACGTTATGGAATCTACCAGAAGCAACCGGAGTAGTGAAACAAGGAAGAACAGTTTTAAATTCCTTGCGGAAGGTTTCGTTTAACCAAGCGTACAGAAAGGGGTTATAACAAGTGGAACTCATGGCTACTGCGTGAGAAAGAAAAAAGAAAGCGCTCAGATATTTCCAATTCGAAGCGGGGATGTAAAAGTCAACTATAAGGTTATACATGTTGATGGGTAGCCACGAGGCTCCGAAGATGACAACCATGGCTATCAGCATCCGATTAGTTCTTCTGGTTCTCTCTCTCTCCATTTCTTCCTTCTTTTGAGACTTAGCACCCGGTTTGGCCTTGGCTCTTCTTCTGAGCTTTCCACAAACACGCATGTAGCAGAAGGTGATGATGATGAACGGTACTACAAACTGAAGAATGCTGGTGGAAAAACCGAACGCTCTACGATTAGATTCGTAAGGCCATGCTTCGTCACAGTACCATTTGCCATTATCTGCTAATATCATGTTCATGAAGATACCATATGGAAGAGTAAGTAAGGCACCGGTAATCCAAATAGAGACGATGATCATGTAGCAAACGTTGAGTTGAAGTCGAGGTTTAAATGGATAAATAATGACAAAGAATCTGTCGATGGCGATCGACATTAAAGTAAAAGCAGAGATGTACACACTCACTCCTTGAGCGTATGGTACTAGTCGACATAAAACTGCTCCGAACACCCATTCTTGCATGAACATGTAAAGTGGTGTGAAAGGTACAGCGAAGGTGCACAGAAGGATATCAGATAGACCGAGATTAGTTATGAAGAAGTTGGTGACAGTCTGCATGGATTTATTGCGAAAGACAACGTAACACACCAACACATTTCCACATATTCCCAACAAGAATATTATAACATAGAGACAATAAAAAAATGCCCTAAAAGCGGGAAGATTAGTAATATAATCGGTAGGCTCGATATATTCTTCAAACTCGGTTTGATTGAAATCTTCACTTATATTTAAATAGTCGTAGACCAAAGTGTTATTCTTTATAAGAGCAGCCAGAGCTGCGTAATTGCTAAGGTGCAAGCCGTTAGCAATATGAAGAGACATATCGTATGTATAACTTCATTTAACAGATGAAATTCTGATCAATCTGAAAGAAAAAAAAATAATATACATAAATATATTATTATATATAACAAATCTTAATATAGGCCTAATACAATAATTATATCGTACATATAACTAATTAATTTTAAGTAATAAACCCTCGCTTTTACGAACTAGTTACAAAGATGTCGCTAAGCAAGTGCTGTAACTCGGTATCATAATTGAGAATAATTTAAAAAATTACAATGCTTTAATTAATAGTGAATAATAATTATAAAGTATAACTGTTATCAACTAATCAAACAGAATTACTTGACAAATTAGACCTTTTAGGAAGCTTTTTTTAAAACAAAAGGCATATAAAATAACCCCCAAAGAAGGGACATTTTTAACGTTTCCTTCAGTGACTGTTGTTCACAGGTTTGATGTATTGTTATTAAAACAAATTAATAACAGAAGGTAGTATTACTGTCTTTTTTTATTTTTGAAATGATATCATTTACATGACTCGAGGGCAACATATTTAATGAATGTTTATAAATTGAGAGTATTGTTAACGTACAGTCCATTAAATTTCTTCTTAGTAACGTTTTACACGCTAAATTTGGGTAATAAAGTCCTAAATTTTGACTTTTGATGATTAATGATTCCTTTGCAAATAATACTTCATCTTAATAATGAGAACGGAAATAAATGACTTCTACTAAGAAACGACAGATGATGCATTCTAATGATGATTAGTGATTACGTATTGCATTAACTACATCCTACGTAGAGACATTTCCATATTTTTTTATTATGAATTTTTAAAAATTCAACTAAATTCTAAATGGATTTTTGGGGATTTTAGAAGCTTTAAAAGTCTCTAAAATCCCACAAAATCGGTTTGATTTGTATATTTGGAATTTTTCGTATATTTTAGAGAGATTTTAAAGCCTTTAAAATCTCTCGAAAATATACAAAAATACAAATTAATTTATAGAAGTTGCTCAAATTTAACAATAATTCCAGGAAGATTTTTCGAAAACAGACTCGAAGAGAATGACGATTTTATTATTTTCACTTTTGTTTATATATATTTAAAATCATAAAAATACTTATTATTTCAGTATTTACAAGTTTTTTTAAAAGTTCATACTACGGCATTTAAACTCATCAATAAAGGTCCTTTGAAATATTTTTTTTTTTTGGAAATAATCCGTATAAACTACGCTACAAAAAAAATTCCAATATGTTCCTCTTTACGGTGTAAGTATTTACAAGTTTTTTTAAAAGTTCATACTACGGCATTTAAACTCATCAATAAAGGTCCTTTGAATATTTTTTTTTTTTTGGAAAACAGAATTCATAACTTGAAAGCTGTAAAATTTCCAATATGTTCCTCTTTACGGTGTAACTATAAACAGTTTTCTCTACACATTTACTGAAGAGAAATCGTTAATGTGAGGTTACAATAATACAACATGGCGAGAAACATTCCAAAAATGATTGTCATTAAGTCGAATGGCAGTGTATCTTATTGTGCAACGTAACGATGCACTAATATCGAATACGTTTTAAAACTTAGTTTTATAATTCGTATCAACGTTCCATTGTACAATGAAAGGCATTAAAAAAATGACACTTTCTTATTGCTCCTACGGGGTTATAAACGTAAGAAGTTTTATACAATAACGTCATTCAAACGAATTATATTGCTGACGTCAAAAATATCCGGAGGCAATTTCAGATTCCTTCTAACATCGATAATAGTTGTTAAATCGAGATTATTAATGCTACTTTTATCACTTTTTACATCCGAACCTAGTTACGCTATTTTTGTGTAGGAATCAAAGTCAGAAAACCGTAAGCATCAATTATAGAAGATTGTACTAAAGAAGTTATCATGTAGTTCTGGTAATTACACATCACTCGCTATTAATAACAAGTTATATTGAATGCCACTTCGAAGATGTGAAGTATACGATAAAAGCTAAAGTGTTAATGCTTAGCTGCAATACTACAGCATAAATGTTGTAAAAAAATTGTACTATTCTTTTAGTATATAAATTTTAATAGCATATACTTTACTATACTTTACTAAATACAATAAATATTTTACCAAAACCCCCTGAAGTTTTCGGACATAGTCCGTCGTCCCTTACCACTCGGTCGCACCCATTATGGGCTTACATGTAATTTTGAAGATTGAAAACCAATCAAAACTCCGAATATAAAGAGTTAAAAATTGAGAATAAACGTATTTGGTTTATTTATTATTTATTACAATTACATTTAGGCCTACATATTTAAAAAAAACATAAGAACATTTAACATTTTCAAACTGTCTTATAAATTCCGGTATCTTTGACAGCACCAAGAATTCGGAAAGAAAAGTGAATATTGTGTAGGAAAAATTTTTTCTTCAATTTTAATATTAATATTACATAAGTGTATATTTTAACCTTTAGAGATTTATTTAGGACACGATTCTCTTAGCAACTTTGCGTGGGAGAAGAAGAATGGCGCCTTTCTCCTGACCTATTTCATTCAAAAGACACGAATACCTGAAAGCTAAGCAATACAAAATATTCAGAAACGTGTTGTAAAATTGTTTTTAAAGATTTTGTTTGACTTTAATTGATTTAGAAAATTCAATAATTAATTAAAAATTTTCATGATGATTTAAGAGAAAAGTTAGAAGACATTCAAATTTGAGGAAAATTATGAAAATTTCACTCCAAAAACAACACTCGAGTTACCTATATTGTATAGTTATTTTCGTGTATAAAACACTAAACAATGATAGTTGCTCGAGGGTTCGCACCTCACCAACGTGCTGGCACAATGAATTTTTCCGGTTTTTTCTCGTGTTTAACATCTAAATATGAGAAAAAACTGCTTGGAGGAATTTCTCCTTGGAAGATTCCCCACGTGTTGTTGCCTTGTTCCTTTAAATTATTTTCTCTAAGAATTTTGAAGACAGTCAAACCTCTGAACGACGACCACTGAACCGAACGTAAAAAAAATGTGCTTTGTTTCCAGGTTATATTTTATGTATTTGAAAAAAAGACAAATATAAACAATGTTAAATTAACGTGTCTAGAAGTCCCAAATGCTTACTAATTTTAGGAATTTTCCAACGTTAAATATATTCTTAATTAATAGAATTTAATATACAATTATTTCCCTCGGAACCTCTTAAGCACGGGATCGTAAGCAAGCACTTCATTCATAAGATAATCCGCCATTGAATGTACAGAGTGGCTCAAAAGTCGATAAACAGTATTTTGTTTTGTGTGATCCAGATATAACTGAGTTTAAGTTGTATTTATGGAATAAGGCAGCATAACACTTGGGCGTAATGCTCCCTATGACTTCCTATGAATGAAAAAATAGACCTATTTAGGTGTTAAACACGTAAAAATCCCAAAAAAAAACATTACTTGACTAGCTCCTGAAGATTAGGTTAACGTTTGTAAAAAGTGTATATTCGAAAAAGACAATAATTTAGTATTTACATTGACTAACTGAATTTTGAGTCACCCCGTAGAAATTACATTTTTAGTAAATTAAAATGTATATTTTACTTTCCAGGAGAATTTCGTTTGTAAATTAAACTTATATTTGGAATTTAACAATATCGACTGTGTACATACAAACACATTTTTAAAGGAGATAATTATTGTAAAAAAATTAATTATATAGTAATTTCTAAGTATATTTTAAACTAATCTTTCTCACAATTGTTTAATTCCTAACCTATATATTTTTATTTAATAGTTAAGTGCATTCGCTATTTACAAAAATATTCATTTTCTGGCTTTCCAACATAATCGATACGCAGTAGAATTATAGAGTAAGACAACGCAACACACTTAAAGGGATGCCACCCGGGAGGACTTTCTACGGGAAACAGATTCCTATTTAGGTGTTAGACATATGGAGGAAACCCGGAAAACTTCACATGTTGGTGAGATGAGATGCGAACCCGCGACTCACCAATATTTAGTGATTTTATCTATTCAGCCAGTGGTGAACACGATATGCAGTAAATTGCTTAAGATAATCTGTATTGCATACATAATATTTACACGTAACTGTTAAAATATAATAATCTATATAATAATAATCCAATAGTTATCTTCTTCACTTTCATAAATTCCAAGCTTATTTCCTGAAATAAATCAGCTCTGAAAGCAATTTCATTAAAAATTTTCAATTTATTTTTCAATACATTATGTGCACCAAAATTATATAATTTATAAATGCAATTATTCTGATGAGAAAATATTAATTAGAATATACTAAATGTTATTTCAGTTATGCAATTGTTACCTCTTCCAAAGTAATTATTCGGAGATATCCAACAAACCTGCATGTTTTTTCTGCACTAATTACATTCCTAATAAAATTAAATACTTTTCTCTGAATAATAGCAGAAACAAATATTGATGATCGCTTTTCTCGTCTCGTTCATTATGTTAGCATCTTGGATTTCACGCGATTTAAATTTCGTTAAGTTCGCCTTTTAAAATACATTTATAACTATTTAATTGCATTACAATTGCCCAAAAATTCTAATTTATATAGAGGGTGGAACCGTGGGAGTTATTATGATGATCTCAGTTTCTTATATCATGGCACCGAGCAAGAAGGAACAAATTCAAGTGCACAAGATCATTATAATTTATTTCATTAACGGGAGTGAAAATTTAAGTGAATTTCTTAAATCTATAAATATAAATTACAAAGTTACTTATCAATTATTATTTAATTTGTTGAGTTTTTAAATTTTCTATACAAGTAAATTCTCGAAACTTCTGTTTGTTTAACGACAAGACAAATGATTAAACCTATTTGTTTCCTCATTCATCTTGCCTAAAAAATTACAATTTTTTTAAGTTTAAAGAAAAATGTCGAAATAAAATTTATTTATAAGATTTTTCAGCTTAATTAAATTCATTCTTTTAAATCGTATTAAATATCTTATAGAATGCTTCAAAAGCCAGTTAACTTTGACTTTTTTTAAGTGATTCAGCAATCTTTCTCAAGTGAGTCATC